GTTGGCTTTTACTATCAAGTTTTGGGTACTAGACAATCACAAAAGTCTCTTGAAGTTGAAACTGTCTGTGCCAATGAATAGGAAGTGGTATTCCTATTCCACACCTAATACAGAAAATGTCTTAGGTTATGTTGTGGTGGATTCCAGAGGGTTTACTTTACCACAATCCAGAATATGATTATTTATTTAAATAACTAGACATACAATTATTTCGAGTGAGGAAGGGATTCATTTAGTGTTGGCATCAACTAATGGCTATGAACTAGGCACATCTTAGTTAGTGTGCTAGATGATTCCATACACATTGTCTCAGTGCAGGATGTGGAATGTATTTTCTCAGAGCTTACATGCTCTTCAGCAAAGGTACATATTCAGGAAATGGGAGGGTCCCTATATCAGGAGAGGCCCCTATACCTTGGTAGAGGCATAAACCAGCAAAGTAATCAGAGAATCCATAGTATAGAAGAGGTAAGGAAAGTTTGGGTCAAAAGATATGTTTTTCTCACTGTCTGTGAGGTGAAAGGATTCTCATAGATTCTTCTTGCTCCCCTTGTATATTCAACAGAATAGAGCAAAAAAGAAGTATCATCTATCTGTAACTCCTCCTAGGTTTTATGATATACATGAAAGAGAGGCACAAATATAATGATAGCACAAAGAAGCAACTGACCAGACCCAGAATGTGGAAGATTCTTCAAGAAAAAAACAACAACAACTTATTCTTAAACAAATCAATAAAAAGGGGTGTCAAGAGGGGACTACTGAATAAAAGATACTTAAGAGATATAAAAGCAAACTAAATATGTGGGTATTATTTGGATCCTCATTTGAACAAAATAATGGAGAAAAAAATTGAACATGAAATTAGAATTAGATGAAATTAGTTGATTTCTAATAATTGGCCTGGGAATTACTATTTAATTAGGATTGGTATATCCTTATGGTTTAATGACACATAATACGGTAATCATGGGTAAAATAATGTGTCTTGAATTTGTTTTAAAATACTTCAGTCAAGGGGCGCCTGGGTGGCTTAGTCGGTTAAGCATCCGACTTTCGCTTAGGTCATGATCTCGCGGTTCATGGGTTCGAGCCCCGCGTCGGGCTCTGTGCTGACTGCCAGCTCAGAGCCTGGAGCCTGTTTCAGAGTCTGTGACTCCCTCTCTCTCTGACCCTCCCCTGCTCACGCTGTCTCTCTCTCTCTCCTAGAAATAAAAATAAAAACATAAAAAAATAAAATAAAATACTTCAGTCAATATCAGACAAAGGGTTAATATCCAAAATCTATAAGGAACTCACCAAACTCCGAAAAACAAACAACCCAGTGAAGAAATGGGCAGAAGATATGAACAGACACTTCTCCAAAGAGGATATCCAGATGGCCAACAGACACATGAAACGATGCTCAGCATCCCTCCTCATCAGGGAAACACAAATCAAAACCACACTGAGATACCACCTCACGCCAGTCAGAGTGGCTAAAATGAGCAAATCAGAGGACTCTAGATGCTGGCGAGGATGTGGAGAAACAGCACCCTCCTACACTGTTGGTGGGAATGTAAACTGGTACAGCCCCTCTGGAAAACAGTGTGGAGTTTCCTCAAAAAATTAACAATAGAACTCCCCTAGGACCCAGCAATAGCACTGCTAGGAATTTACCCAAGAGATACAGGAATGCTGATGCATAGGAGCACATGTACCCCAATATTCATAGCAGCACTCTCAACAATAGCCAAAACATGGAAAGAGCCTAAGTGTCCATCAACAGACGAATGGATCAAGAAGATGTGGTTTATCTATACGATGGAATACTACATGGCAATGAGAAAGAATGAAATCTGGCCATGTGTAGCCACATGGATGGACCTTGAGGGTGTTATGCTGAGAGAAATAAGTCAGGCAGAGAAGGACAAATATCATATGTTTGCACGTATAGGAGGATTAGGAGGAACTTGACGGAGGAACAAGGGGGAGAAGAAGGGGAGAAATGGTGGGGGAGAGGGAGAGAGGCAAACCATGAGAGACTCTTGAATGCTGAGAACAAACTGAGGACTGATGGGGGTGGGGGGAGAGATGGGCATGGAGGGGGGCACTTGTGGGGATGAGCGCTGGGTGTTATATGGAAACCAACCTGACAATAAACTATTTGTAAAATAATTAATTAATTAAATAAAACAAAATGTTACTCATAAATAAATACATAAATAAATAAACACTCTTTCTACCTAAAAAAATAATAAAATAAAATACTTCAGTCAACAGGTGCCTGGGTGGCTCAGTCAGTTGAGTGGCTGACTCTTGATTTTGGCTCAGGTCATGATCCCATGATCGTGGGATCAAGCCCCATGTCAGGCTCTGCGCCGAGCATGGAGCCTGTTTAAAATTTTTTTTCTCTCCCTCTCCTGATTCTTTCCTTCACTCATGCACTCTTTCTCTCTAAAATAAAAAAGAAATAATAAAATACTTCAGTGAGATGGGGCACCTGGGTGACTCAGTTGGTGGAGCGTGCGACTCTTGACCTTGGGGTTGTGAGCTTGAGCCCCATATTGGGTGTAGAGATTATTTAAAAATAAAATCTTTATTTTAAAAAAAATCTCAAGGGAAGGACTCTGACCATGCTTTTGAGGATTGAATGAGATAGTGGATATAAGTTGCTAGCCCAATGTTATAAGGATACTGGGCAGTCCAAATTCATGACATATTGCTGTCTATACATTCTGAGAGCAGAGTCCTAGTACCATTCTCATAGAAAATAGCCAGCATTTTAGAGTCATATTTTCTTGTTGATGTCATGAAAATAGTGGTGTTAGGTACTATAGGAAGGTAATATAATGTACAGAACTTGGAACTAATGAACACTTACTTCCCTAAATGATATTCTGTTTAAGCCTCTATTTCACATTTAGGTTTGCCTTTGGCCTGGAACAGATGGGATTTTTACAAGCAACAGTGGAGTTATAAAGAATATAGACATGAGAGGAGCCTGGGTGGCTCATTCGGTTAAGCGTCCAACTCTTGATTTCAGCTCAGGTCATGATCTTACAGTTGTGAGATTGAGCCCCACGTTTGGCTCAGCATTGAGTGTGAGCCTGCTTCGGATTCTGTCTCCCTCTCTATCTGCCCTTCCTCTGCTCATGCTCTTGCTCTCTCTCAAAATAAATAAACATTTTTTAAAAAAAGAATATGGAAATGAAATTTTAGAAAAGAGTGAATAGCATCAACAAGAATAAAGCATAAGGAAAGCATAAGGCAAGTTGTAAGAGCAGCTCATGTCCCCTTTGGATGATGTTTGCTGGTCCTACTCACTAGGACATGGAATATAGCTAATCCAAGGTGTAGTTCCAGAGATAGATGGTGAACAATGGTCTTATGACACTTGAGTTTGAGCTGAAGATGGACTGCATCTGGCTAATGGTTACACATTTTAAAAACTTAAGCAGCACGCCTGGGTGGGGATGGCAATTTGAAATTCAGATCGTTGGGGCGCCTGGGTGGCTTAGTCGGTTAAGCTTCCGACTTTCACTTAGGTCATGATCTCGCAGTTCGTGGGTTCGAGTCCCGCGTCGGGCTCTGTGCTGACTGCCAGCTCAGAGCCTGGAGCCCGTTTCAGAGTCTGTGACTCCCTTTCTCTCTGACCCTCCCCTGCTCACGCTCTCTCTCTCTCTCTCTCCTAGAAATAAATAAAAAAATAAAATAAAATAAATGATGAAATCCAGATCGCACATAGCATCTGATGCCATATGTGTGACCAATTGAATGCAGTTGGGTCTCAATGTCTATGGGGCTTCAGAACCGCTTGAGGAGCTGACTTTAAAATGTGTATGTGACTCTGTCAAAAAAGGTGAAATGTGCAATCTGATTTTTATTCCTGATATGGTGTGTCTTTAAGAGGGAGTGGAAATGTACTAAAATTAAGATAGTGGTGATGGCCGCATACCACTGCAGATATTCCAAAAACCACAGACTTGAACACTTTAAATGGGTTAATGGCATGTTATGTGAATTACCTCTCAATAAAGTGGTTTAAAATAGCACAGGTCAGATTTGGTACAAGGGCTGGTGTTGCTCAAGACGACTGTCATGGTTCCTCTCCTTTGCTACACTGACCTCTACATGAGCCAAGGGGAATCCGCACATCAGTACATCTGCTCCTCACTCCCAGCACACTGGCTGGGAAGCTCTACCACAGAACACCAGAGCCCCAGAAACTTGGGGTGGCAGGTCCCTGGGTTTTCATGTGATTTATTAAAACCTTGTTTCCAACACAGCCCAGATGGATACTTCCTGCTCCCTGGTCCTAGTGCCAAGACACCACCCATTCAGGGAGACCAGGGTGATGCCCTGATGGGGGTGAGAAAGATGATCAAGGACCACCAGAAGCCACTGTCAGTGTCAAGAACACGATCCCTCACATCAAACCAGTGGGTGAATACGGTGGGGAAGTGGGAGAGACCACAGCCCCTGTGTCTCTCCAGTACAATCGTGGGCTTCTCTGTAGCTCCCACAGGATGTGGTGCTGCTTCAGCAGGATGACTTTCATGGGGAAAGTCGACACTGCCCCCACTTGCTCCTTTCTGTCCTGTGACCCCATGACCCGGGGAAGCCAGGTGGGCATTAACAGAAGGCAAGTTCCATCAGGATAACCTTTGTGTTCAAGGCTGTAACCCCAGCACCTGGCATGTAGAAGGCAATCACTATTTCTAGAGTGAATCAATGAATGAATACCTAAAATCTAAAAGATATTGACTCCACCTACTAACCATAAAGTTGGGGAACTAACCACAACATGGTTGGATGATCTCAGGGATCTGTAATGCAAACTCAGAATATTAAAAAAAAAAAAAAACAAAAACGTGATGCACATTATGTCCTAAAAACAAAGGTTCTTCAAGGAGAAACTCTTCTAAGGATGAAAAAACGCCAGAGGATGCAGATTAACTTAAAAAAGAAACAGATCCGCTAAAAGGAGAAAATCACAAATAAAAGATTATCACAAAGGATTAAGATGAAAATGTCTTTAATCAACAATGAAAAATGCTGACCACTATCCAGAAGGTACTCTCCATTTAGCCAACCCCTACAGGACTTAAAAGGTTGTATTTGAACTAATTCTTGAGGTTTACTAAGCTATTTCTCACAAAACATTTTTAAACCAGGCCCTTCACTGACAAGAGAAGAGACACTTCACAGCGAATACAAATGCTGTTTTCTCAGTACCACCTTTTCACTAGAGTCATGGAGATTGCTCGCCACATATAGCAGGACTGAATGCTCTCCACCACGACAGCATTAACAATGTCATATATTTGAGGTATGTATCCATCAGGAAGCTTCAGAGATTCCAAGGTGAAAAAGATGCTGTCGTCTATCACCCCCTTTCTTCCATGTAGGCTAGTAATGTAGACCTGTAAGTACAGATAATAAAAATGTGTATGTAAAAGCAGTGTACACTGTGACAAGGTCCACACCTCCTTAATCTGGCCTTAATCTGTAGGTCACTCTAAATCAGTGATTCCCAGCCTGGCCGCCATGCTTGTCACACCTAGAGCACTCTGGAAAATTACCCAGACCCCACCTCACAGCAGCCAAGTCCGTATCCCTGCAGATGGGGCCCTGGTCTTGGATTAGAAACTCTGCTCTAAATGTAACACACAATGTCCATTAACCTCTCTATGGTTGAGAGAGTGAAAGGGGTAAAGTGAGAAAGGAATGTGGTGGCCAACCGAATGCCATTGCCTTACTTCCTGGGTCACATCCCATGCGCCATCTGTCCCTTTGTGCAAACTGACTTTCCCACTCATTTCTCATCTCCACTATCCAAATCACACCCAGCATTTACTGCAAGCTCTGGTCCCACAACCTCTCCATTCATTCTTGCCCAACAATTCCCTCAACACGACTTGTTTACTATTCTGGTTGCTCTCAGAGCATTTTAATACCTCCCAAGTAAACTACCTAATTTAGATTTTAATTACATGTGTGTCCTACATTATTCCTGAATTATTTCCCTTCAGAAGCACGGTCCATTCAATAAGAAAATAGAACCCTCTTTGGCAAAGAACGGCTTCCCAACACACCCCAACAGAATCGCGAGCAGCAGCAATGATCACTAGTGGGAAGAGAAGCAGAAACAAATAACAAGAGCAACATGCAAACAAACTATACCTCATGCACATGCTTATGTCTCAGAGGCTTCACCGACATGGCCCTTCTGCCCAATGTGTCGGACTGGGTGCAAAGCTCAACTTCTACTCGGTCCCCTTGGTAAGGCTCAAAACCTAAAACAGCCACAGAGAGAAGTCGAGTTGGAATATCCTTGGTAATGTTATGCTTCAGTGTTACTTTGACGTTGCAATATCCTAAAATAGTTTCTATTACATCTTGAACCTTTTAAGACAAGTAACCTATAAGTAATTCTGTCAGAAAGGATGTTTATAATCCTTTATGCATTGGTTTTCTCCCTGGTTTAACAAAGTCTCTTGGGGAAAAGCGTCAACTGGGCATCACAGGGCAATCTCTTTGAGAGCAGCATGGGATCTCTTAAACCATTGGTCCCATTCACAAGGCTTTCTGGAGAGGCAGAGAAGCACGTAAGTCAGGGCCCCACTATGATTCTGGCTGCCTCGGTTCAAACCTTGATGCTGCCACTTACTCAGCTTGCAACCTTCATCAAGTTACTTGACCTCTCTGTGCCTTGATTTCTTCATCTATAAAAGGAGAAGCATAATTGTAGTAGTACTTACCACACAGAGGTGAAGGGACAAGTCACCAGTACATATAAAACTCATAGAATAGTGCCTGGCAAAAAGTCAGCCCCAACTACATGCCACAGCCTAAAAATGGCAAGATTCTCCCAGGCTGTTAAGTTGGGAGGCTCACTGAGAGATGTGAGACACTCTAGGCTACGTTTTCATGAAACATTAATAGGAAACCTCAGCTCAGATGTCTTGTCATACAGTGGAGAGATTAGTGAATGTTCCTGTTATAGTATAAATATATAAGTACTTATTTGTTTAATAGTTTGATAACTCCTTTTTTTAGTTTTCAATAAACCTTTTTGGCAGCAATGAGCAAAAGAATGAATGCATGCTTAGGGAAAAATGAGTAATGAGTTAATTTTCCAAGGAAGTTGATGAATATATGAATTATGTAATTCATCTGCGCTGTGGACTGAGTGTTTGTGTCCCCCTAAAATTCATATGTCGAAGCCCTGACCTCCAGTGAGACTGTATTTGGAGATGGGCCTCCAAGGAAGTAACTAAGATTAAATAAGCTCATAAGGAGGGGCACCTGGCTGGCTCAGTCAGTAAAGCATGTGAGTCTTCATCTTGGGGTCGGGAGTTTGAGCCCTGCGTTGGGTGTAGAGATAAATAAAAATAAATAAATAAATGAGCTCATAAGGAAGGGGCCCTAACCCAGTAGGATTTGTGTCCTTGTAAGGAGACACACTGAGAGCTGGTGCTCTCTCTCTCCTCCTCATACACACCAAGGAAAGGTCAGATGAGGACTTGGTGAGCCAGAAGCTGGAAGCCAGAAACTGTAAGCTAGAAAGACCCCTCACCAGAAACCAAATTGGCTGAAACCCCAGTCCTGGATGTCCAACTTCCAGAACTGTGAGAAAATAAATTTCTATTGTTTAAGTCACTGAGCCTATGGTGTTTTGTTATGGCGGCCCAAATAGACCAAAACAACATTAGGTCTGTCAACATTTACTCTCCGCCATGGGGGCCACAGGGATATCACTATCCACAAGAAACCAGAGGACCAGATCCCCTAAGGCTTTCAGTTTACAACTTAGTAGATATTTTAAGGAACAGTGCACAAAGACCACAAGTTAACATAAGAAGTTACAAAAGGTACACTGACATACATTCTTAGGTACATTGCAAGAGTGAAACAATAGCTCTTCAGGTCTTAGCTCCATTACGAGAAGAACTTCACAAATGATCAAACGATGCCAGATGCTTTAAAGAAGAAAGAGTTAAGTGAATTCCAGTAATGGTTTGATTCCTTCCATCCGAATCATGGAATCAAAGTGAGAGAGAAAAAGATCAGCCTCTAATGTCCAAAACTAGTCACAGCTAGACCTCAGTATTATAACTATAAAATAATATTATATTATGATAATTAGAATTCAATATTATAACTATTAAGTGTGGTCTGACACTCACAGCCAGGCCATTTCGTTTTCCTGTTAGACATAAACAATCTCATAGGATACAACCTCAGATAAAGTCACACTGAGACTCTGAAAAAATGAAACAGAACAAAGCCTTTTCATAATTTTGTCTCAACATGAAAAAAAGCAAGGCTGCTGTGCCACCCACAAAATAACCAACAATAGAATTGCCCCACTCTCTGACAGCATCCAATTTAGGGCTAACCCTTGCTTCCTTACACCTTCCCCCAAACACCCAACTAAATCTCAAAGCCTATACTGGGCTCCTCCTGACACCCTGTAACTGAACCCTGTAACTGAGCTCCACCACGGTGTGCGCTCTCCCCTCTGAAACAGGTACCAAGCCTAACCTGATCTTTGGCTGAAGAGCTTTGACAAAAGTTGTGCAAGTTTTCTCTGGCAGAGGCAAAATAGCTAATATTAGTATAAACGCTGTTATAAATTCAGTATAAAAGTCCTACAATGGGGCAGCATTATCAACAATAGCCAAATAATGGAATGAGCCCAAATGTCCAACAAGTGCTGAATGGATAAAGAGGTGGTATATATGTATAGTGGAATGTTCCTCAGCCATCAAAAAGAATGAAATCTTGCCATTTGCAACAACATGGATGGAGCTAGAGTGTATTATGCTATGCGAAATAAGTCCGTCAGAGAAAGACAAACACCATATGATTTCATTCATGTGTGGAATTTCGGTGTCACAACTCTCTGTGCAAGAATCCTGCTACAGGAATATAATCATTTGTTTTTGCAGTGTTTTTTAGATTTATTTATTTTTGAGAGAAAGAGAGTACGAGTCAGGTAAGGACAGAGAGAGAGGGAGAGAGAAAGAATCCCAAGTAGGCTCCACACACTAAGCTCCATGCTGAGCCCAACGTGGGCCCCGATCTCATGACCCTGAGATCATGACCTGAGCTGAAATCAAGAGTCAGACGCTTAACAGACTGAGCCACCCAGGTGCCCTTGTTTTGGCAGTGCTAACATAAATACAAATTTGGAATAAAGTATCATAGTAAACATAATGTTCTTGGAAATTTAGAAAACTGATGGAACAGAAATGGAATTGGAATTGGTTGTGGTGCAAGCATAATTCATACCCACATCTAAACATCCATGACGTTCAACCAACTGAAACCAAAGCTGTAGTAATCAAAATTTAGAAGACAAGCATGTACGTGTGTATACCTGGATGTATTTACATATTCAAAATATCAACTACAAACCTCCGAGACAAGGAACAACGTTAATATTGAATACAAAAGGATAATGACTCAGGGGGCACCCGGCTGGCTCGGGCAGCAGAGCACATGTTTCTTGATCTCGGTCCGGGTCATGAGTTCAAGCCCCACCGGGGGTAGAGTTTACTTAGTAATATAATAATAATAATAATAATAATAATGACTCAGAATGGTTACTTTTCTCTTTTTTTTCTTACTACTTTTTTCTGTTTCTTACACAGACCAATTGGATTTTAGGCACACGTGAGCCTCTGAAGGACTGTGAAATCAGCCCAACTGTCTATGGTAGTGATTTTTTTTTTTTTTTTTTTGGAAACGAGTCCTTTCAAGTTTGGTTACAGTCTGCTTAAAATCAGTTGAAAACCTTTAATTGAAAAAAGTCAACCAACATAGTGCCAAAATTCAAGTTTGGAAGCTTTTAGAGAATGATATTTATCCGTCCATATGACGTTTGCAGGGAGAGAGGTCAAAAATTCCCTCCCCTCAAAAATGGAAGAAGTGAATACATTGAACCAGCAGAGCTCCACTGCTGTACAAAACTGAAATTAGATGATTACACTTAAGGACATTTCATGGTGTGGCCAAAATCTTCATATGCAGCTCTTGTGTTGTATTGGAGACATTTCTATTCCATCGCAGAATGGAAGGAAATTAAGAGAACCTACAAAACTGGACACTGGATCGCAATTTGATGAAGCATGCAAACGTTTCCGTTGATGTACTCAGAGACATTCTTTTTTTAGAACTAATTTTGTTTTTGAAAACTGTATTAATACTATTTTAAATGTCCAAATTTAAAATAATTTGTTAGTCATAGACAAACACTTCAAAAGCTGATTTAATTTTAATCCATTTAACACCCCATTTTAGTCTCAAGAATGACTACGATTGGGGGTGCCTGGGTGGCTCCGTCGGCTAAGCATCTGACTCTTGATTTGGGCTCAGGTCATGATCTCATGGTTCATGAGTTCGAGTCCTGTATCAGGCTCTGGGCTGGCAGCATGGGATTTTCTCTCTCTCTCTCTCTCTCTCTCTGCCCCTCCCCTGCTTGCGTGCACTCTCTCTCTCTCTTTCAAAGCAAATAAACATTAAAATAAATTTTAATGACTCAGATTGAACAATAGAGGATATGGTCACCCTATAGCTATAGCTGAAGGAGAGGGCTGCTCTACAAAAGCTATGGCCTTTGGTAGATGCATAAAGTCATTGCCAACATGCAGCCTGGGAATGAGGTATCTAGGGGAATAAATATTCCAACATCTCCCTGCCCACTCCAGTCCCCTGAATTAAATCATAAGAATGTCAGAAGCTGAAGAACAGGGGTTTGTAGTGACTATTGGTCATTACAGTGGCATATTGAAACAGGGAAACTACCTCTGAACTGAGTAAGATGCTGTACAATTGGACACTTCAAGGCATGAGGGAAAGTCCAAAAAGGGATAAGAAGGCTACATAGAATTTGCTTTTAATCTTTCAAGTGGGCACTCAAACCAATATATTTTGGAAAATAAATAACCTTGGGGCGTCTGGGCAGTTCAGCTGGTTAAGCGTCCGACTTCTGCTCGGGTTCATGATCTCACAGTTCATGGGTTCAAGCCCCGCGATGGGCTCTGTGCTGACAGCTTAGAGCATGGAGCCTGCTTCAGTTTCTGTCTCTCTCTCTCTCTCTGTCTGCCCTTCCCCTGCTCGCGCTCTCTCTCTCTCAAAAATAAATAAATATTTTTTAAAGAAATAACTTTCTTTGTGACCCCAGGCTTCTAACTCAGGTTGCGGTTACATAAGGGTATGTAGGATATAGGACTATATTAACCCATAACCTGAAAAATAAAGGGGAATGAAATAGCAACATTGTGCACTTGGTAGACCCCCCCTCCACCTCTGCCCTGAGGTGAATGCTCAATTCCATTTTGGCATCCTTCACCAAAGTGGTTAAGATTTATTGTTTATTCACATACAAAACACAATACTGGACCCATTACTGATGTTAACCATTTCCCATGAGCAACACCCATGGACCAAAACCCTCAAATCCTGTGTGCCTAATGAGGCTGATCACCACCATCCTGTGAGGCAAGTCAAAACAAATGGGATCTTGAGCCCCAAAGCACACATTAGAGCGCCTCCCACTGACATATAAACGCGTTCACGCCATGCCAAGAAGAACACACACTCTCAGCTCCTAGTTCAAGTCCTAGTGAGTAAAGAATAACCTGGAGCTCTCTCTTTTTTAGGGTGGGAATACTTGCTGATTGCCTGTGATATAGCTCATTAAAATGCAAGTATTAGGAAAATAGCACCTGGAACAGAACCAGGCACTCAAATATTTACTCTGTTGCATGAACATCAACAAGAAAAGAATGCACAATGACTTCCCATTGTATGGGACCGAAAAAATTCACCCAATTTTTCCTTTTTTTAGATTCCCGTTATGCTTTTAAATTGGAATTGTCTTTTGCCATTTTCATTGGGTTTCATAATCACATCAACAGCAGCTATTTTGACAATTCTAACTATGACTGATTAGGTGCTCAGGTCTTTTTAATCCACCCTCTTTTTTACCCTAGGGAAGTCTATTACTCTGATTCACTCGATTTATCTTGCAGCGATAAATCCCTTCACCTGTGCTTTGGGTCCCGGCCATTCTGTATGCCTCAGGGCCCTGGTTCCATCAGTCCCTCGGGCTCTCTCCAGCACCTTCAATCAATCCCCTTGACATTACAGACATGTTCAAGTGTTTCCCATGTTGACAAGAATCCCCCTAGCAAGAGCTACTACTATGGGCGGTGACTTCCAGTCGGCATGGTTATAGGAACCAGGAAATTGACTTTAGAGCTTAGCAATCACAGGGGCCTTTTCTCTTAGAATTGGGTATTTCTAACTAAATGTGTCTTAAAATCCTAGCTGCCACCAGATAATCATCTTTGGGGACTTCCATGGTTACCATCTAAGGTCAAGTCCTGGCTTTTAAATCCAAGAAAAATCAAATGGAAAGCTGCCTGGTGTGGCTGAACTAACTTCCCCTTTTATATTCAAATTAAACAGCAGCTGGTTGGCCTTAAACAGGTACAAGATTTTTACTTGTATTCGTCTTTCAAAATCCAGCCTGGCAGGAGGTTGCAGGGCTATGGAGCCCTGGTGGGAAAGCATCTCACCCAGACAGCCTTCCCCAAGTCTGCCCACAGCAGTCATTTTCTCTCCTCTGCTCAGTAATGTTGTTTTCATCATGTTCTTTTAATGTATCCACGCATCTGTCTCTCCCAGTTAGACTGTGAGCTCTTTGTAGGCACGGTTTAATAAAGTCTTACCTATCTCGGTCCTGCCAATACCAAGCACTCTATCATGTGCTGAGTTAAATTCAAATAGCAGCAACAAATTAACAAATATTGCTTTCGGCCTAAAACAACAAAATGTTGGGGCGTTTGGGTGGCTCAGTCGGTGAAGCACCCGACTTAGGCTCAGGTCATGATCTGACGGTTCGTGAATTCGAGCCCTGCATTGAGCTCTGTGTTGACAGCCAGCCCAGACCCTGGAGCCTGCTTCAAATGCTGCATCTCCCTCTTTTTCTGCCCCTCCCTCACTCATGCTCTGTCTCTCTCTGTCTCTCAAATGAATCAACGTTAAAAAAAAAAAAACTAAAATAACAACAACAACAGTAAAATGTTATACCAAATAATTACCAAATAGAATTCAACAACAGTATACACACACACAGAAAATGCTAGAGGAGGTCATCAAGAGAACGTGACCACTAATTGACCCATGAGCTGGACCTGGGGTGGCTGAAGGCTCTTCACCCACTCCCCTGCCCTTGGAATGTCATGTTCTGCTCACCACTCCCACAGCTGGAGGACATAGCATTTAGACATTAAGGTTTTGCTGAGGCCGCCTGGACAGCATGTGTGACTGAACCCAAGGCATCTATGTAAGTGTTTAAGATTTTGGCAGGTGCGTGCAGAGATCTGCTCACTTGGTGTCCACTCAAGACAAGCTTCGTATGTCAGTTCCTTGGTTATTATACTGGCCACCTACCAAGTGGGAGTGGTCTGCCTCTTTCTTCGGTCTCTCCTCACCCTCCATGTACAGGAGCCAGTTTGCAAGCCAACAGAAACGTACAAGGCTATCTCCAAACCTTATTTTATTTATTTATTTTTAATGTTTTATTTATTTCCAGGAGAGAGAGAGACAGCATGAGCAGGGGAGGGTCAGAGAGAGAGGGAGTCACAGACTCTGAAACAGGCTCCAGGCTCTGAGCTGGCAGTCAGCACAGAGCCCGACGCGGGGCTCGAACCCACGAACCGCGAAATCATGACCTAAGCGCCCCTCCAAACCTTATTTTAAAGCATTTAAATATTTTTTTAAAAGAGCATCCCTTGGGGCGCCTGGGTGGCTTAGTCGGTTGAGTGTCCGACTTTCGCTTAGGTCATATCGCTTAGGAAATAAATAAAACATTAAAAATAAATAAAAATAAAAAATAAAAAGAGCATCCCTTAAGGCTTTTCTGTTAGATTAGAAATTTGATGCCTATATTAATGGAAAAATTACAAAAATACTAGCCGTTGCATCCAATAAATGAAACGGTAACAAATGATAGCATGAGTTTTTAAGAACATTATGTATCTGTCCCTTGCTGCACATTATTTTCAACTCTAAAGGTTCACCTCAAGTATTAAAGAGCCTCTGATTGGAGCCAAGGATGCTGGAGAAGTAGTTCTAATGTGTGAAAATCCTCTTGCCAAATAGTGTGTTCCAAATTTGACCCTGGAAATGATGCCTATAACCATCTCCAAATCCAATCTATAAAATTAAAAAGTAGGTAAAACCTAATATTAAATTTTAAAAGATGTAAATTGTACCTTTACAAACAACATCTAGCAAGAAGTAAGTTGTATGATCAATGTAGTAAGCTCCTTCCACTTCAGGGTTAATACAGGCAAATGTAACTCTAGCGTAGGAGTCGGACACTCCATTGCCATGGCAACTATCACAGAAAGGAATCACCTGCGAAATAAAGAAACAATTACCGCAGACAGAACACAAATTTAAAAGGCAGAAATATGTTTAAATCAGTGTTGTTCAAGAAGTGGTTTAAACAACTATAACAAACAGTGGTGAATAGATTTCACCTGACAAACATCATAGACACGAGATGATGATAAAATGAAATAATGAATGAGCTTTATATCTTTTATTACTTTATTTTTTAGAGAAGTTTACAAAAATTGAGCAGAAATTTCCCATATATTCCTTTCCTCTATCCTTAGTTTGCCCTGTTACTAGCATCTTGCATTTGTTTGATTGGCATATTGGCTCAATTGATGAACCAAGACAGACACAGTAAATTTTAACTAAAGTCCATTGTTTAAATGAGGACTCAGTCTTTGTGTTGATCTGTCATGTAGAGGCCTAACCGACTGAGCCACTCAGGCGCCCAGTGTCATATATTTTTAAAATGTGTCTAAATGGGATGCCTGTGTGGCTCAGTCAGTTAAGCGTCCGACTTCGGCTCAGGTCATGATCTCATGGTTCGTTGGTTCAAGCCCTGCGTCGGGCTCTGTGCTGACAGCTAGCTCAGAGCCTGGGGCCTGTTTCAGATTCTGTATCTCCCTCTCTCTCTGACCCTCCCCAGCTCACGCTTGCTCGCTCTCTCTCTCTCACTCTCTCTCTCTCTCGGAAATAAATAAAACATTAAAAAATTAAAAAAAATAAAATATGTCTAAAAACATGATTTGTGTACCAACCAGGTTTCATGCACTGGCAGTACTAGATTTGAAGGTAAGAGATATACTGTTGCTGCCCTCCAGCAAGTCACAATCAAAGGGGAGTAAAAGACAAAAATCCCTAATTCAGTGCAAGTTGTGACAAATGGTAAAACCAAGTGCAAATGCTGGCTTCTGGGAATTCCCAGTAGGGAGAAAATTTCAGACTGAAAGAATATAGGACAACAGGGGTGCCTGTCTAGCTCAGTTGCGATCTTGAGGTTGTGAGTTTGAGCCCCACATGGATGTAGAGATTATTTAGGGGCACCTGGGTGGATCAGTCAGTTAAGAATCTGACTATTAGTTTCAGCTCAGGTCATGATCTCACGGTTTGTAAGTTCGAGCCCCACATCAGGCTCCATGCTGACAGTATGGAGCCACTTTGGGTTTTCTCCCTCTCTCTCTCTCCCTCGCCCCTGCGCACTCTATCTCTCTCTCTCAAAAATAAATAAATAAACTTAAAAATTTTTAAATAAATTTTAAAAACTTAAAAAGAAGAATATAGGACAACTTCCTGGAGAGAGTGGGATTTGCTATAGGCTGTGAGAGAAGAGACTTTTACCTGGCAAATGGGGGTAGGGTTGAGGACAGAAGCAGGGAGATGGCAAGGGAGGAGCAAAACACATCTCAGTGTAGAGGAACAAGGAAGAAAACGAAAAGATTCCAGATCAGTCCACCCAGAGAGAGAGAGCATGAGATAAGGTTGGGAAGATAATGGGGGAAGGGGGAAGATCTAAAAAGAAATAGGTCCGCCTGGGTGGCTCAGTTGGTTAAGTATCCGACTTTGGCTCGGGACATAATCTCACGGTTCTTCAGTTTGAGCCCTATATCGGGCTCTGTGCTGACAGTTCAGGGCCTGGAGCCTGCTTTGGATTCTGTGTCTCCCTCTCTCTCTCTGTCCCTCCACTGCTCGTGCTCTGTCTCTTTCTCTCAAGAATAAATAAACATTAAAAAGACAAAAATTTCAAAAGACACTTAAAAAGACAAAATTATGGCTGAATTTTCTACAATAGGGAAGCATTCAAGACCTTTGTTATTGGAAGTGTAGTGGCCTTTATTTTATATTTTGCTTTTCTAATTATACAAATGATACATGTTCATTACAGAAAAAATATGAGACACAGAGACAAAAGCAAAAAACAACTACACATAATCCATAAATCTATTACCTATCTAAAGGTAAACACTGACCACATTCTGATACTTACCCCACTCCAGATGTTTTTACTATGCAGAAATATCTGTGAACTATTTTAAGAAAAAATTTAATATTATACATGTATTATTAATGTATTACCAAATGATCACAAATACGTCAATAGATATTGCAAGTTTATTTTAAAACGTTTGAAAAATGTTTAATATGACATGCCATTGAATGGAAGTGCCATAATTTATTGATTCAATTCCACATAGTTGAACATTTGGCTTATATCCTGATACGTAGCCTACTTGCCTGATTTATTTCTGTAGGATAACCTCCTTGTAGTGGAATTTCATGTTGAAAAACTTCTAATGGAAACTTGATCCATGGAGGTGTAAATTCTTTTTCATATTTCTTTTTTGAGTAGCCTAATTCATGGCCTAATTGCATTTATCTATCCATGTATTTCCAGCTTCCAGTGCCAATCTCATGGTCATTTCCCCCTCATTCACTTTCACTGAGGAATGAAGCACCAGGCTCCCAACTATTTATCCACTACCACTACTGTCAATATCCAAATGTGTGATCTATAAGACCTCCCTGTTGCCTGTCTCTACACTAACCACTATACTTAGTAAACGTGCCTTCTCACAATCTGAAACCATCTGTCTACACCTCAAGACTAAAACATCACTGTTGTTTTTTAATTACACAAATATTTGATGTCCATTAATGCAAAATTAGTAAACCCTGATATTTTCTCTGAGAAAATAAAGGCCACTGGGTAGGACCTCCTGTATCAACCTCCTGGCACCCTATCCTAGCTTTCTCTGCCTTCCTTCCTCTAATAATGGAGGGTCCTCCAAGCGCCTTACCCAAGGCATAGCGGCCCCCCCACCCCCGCACTGGGCACATGGTACTAGTCCCTCTTTTCTCCATGTAGACTTAGCCCCTACTAAGTTTTGCTTCTCTTCCTCTTACATAGACGATTTTTCTCTTTCTAATGAATCAACATACAAACACTCTCTAGCTGCTCCCATCTTTTTTTGTTGCTAAGTATCTTTGTGAATTTTATTCACTTTAGCTTAAATTTATGGATCAATTTAAGAACTAAAAGTTATTAAATATTCTTTCCAACCAGAAGCATGGTCTGGCTTTCCATTGCATCAATTCTCTTTTTATTGCCATCAGGAATTTTTTGTAGCTGCCTTCATTTTTACTTTTTTATTTTTTAATTCCAATATCGTTGACATACAGTGTTATATTAGTTTCAGCTGTACAATATAGTGATGCGACAATTTTAGGGGCGCCTGGGTGGCTCAGTCGGTTAAGCATCTGACTTCGGCTCAGGTCATGATCTCGCGGTTCATGGGTTCGAGCCCCGCATCGGGCTCTGTGCTGACTGCCAGCTCAGAGCCTGGAGCCTGTGTCAGATTCTGTGTCTCCCTCTCTCTCTGACCCTCCCCTGCTCACACTGTCTCTCTCTCTCTCAGAAATAAATAAAACAATAAAGAAATTTAAATAAAAAAACAATTTTATATTTTACCCACTGCTCATCACAATAAGTGTAGTCTTAGTCTTATCTTAAAAAAAATAAACCTCCCTGATCTCATTTCTCCTTCAGTCTCATTTCTTTGCTCCTCCTCCCAGCAAAAGATATTTAAAGAATCATCTACATTCACTTTCCTATCTTCCATTCCCTCCTTACTGCTCTCCAATTAGGCCTTATATCTCCAACATGCCTCTAAAACCGCTCTTAAGGGGCGCCTGGGTGACTCAGTCAGTTAAGCATCCTACTTGATTTCTGCTCGGGTCATGATCTCACACTGTGAATTCGTGCTCCACATCTGGCTCTGCAATAACAGCACAAAGCCTGCTTGGGATTCTCTCTCTCTCTCTCTCTCTCTTTCTCTGTCTCTCTCAAAAATAAATAAACATCTAAAAATTTTTTTAAATAAAACTGCTCTTAAGATCACCAGCAACCTCCAAGTTGCCAAACCCAGGGGTCAATTTTCTCTGCTCTCAGCACTCAACCTCTTAGCTTTGGATCCAGTTGAAAAACTTTGCCCGGCTTCTGTGCAAGCATCTTCTCCTGGAGACACTCCATCTAAACCTCAGGTTACATCCCCTTCCTATTTCCTGTCCCTGAACTGAATACGCCAAGTTACAGACGTGGTGTCCCATCAGCATCTCAAGCTTAGCATGGACAAAAGTTAACTTATCCTGAACTTCCCTGCATCCCTCATCTTCTCCGTCTCAGAAAATGGCAAGTCAGTTTACCTAGACAAGATGGACACATTTTAGTATATAAGAGTTAAACTCCACAAAATTGAAAAACCAGTCTTGGAGGAAATACTGGCAAAATGTTCATATGGTAAATTTCCTAAAGCTCTAATTTCCATAACATACAAACAGCTCTGAGGCTCCTACTATAGAAATAGCTCAAAGAAAAAAAAAACATTGTTGTACTCTCCCCAACACTTAAAGAAATGCAAAATAAAATTATGAGACTGCCTTTTTTAAAGATTGGCAAAGATTTCAAAGACTGAGATATTTCCATCCTTGTCAATTTTGGCAAACAGGCAGTTTCACAGCCTGCTGTTGACAGTGCCAATTAGTACAATAAAGCTGAAGCAAAATTTGACAGTATCTATTAAAATGGTAAATAGCTACATTGAGGTGATGGTTGGGTGACTCTGTAAAACTTACTAAAAATGTCATCTAACTATGTCCTTAAAAATGGAGACTCTTGGGGCACCTGGGTGGCTCAATCAGTTGAGTGTCAAACTCTTGATTTTAGCTTAGGTCATGATCCCAGAGTCATGGGATCAAGCCCATGCCTCTGTCCTAACCATGGAACCTGGTTAAACCTGCTTAGAATTCTCTCTCTTTCTCTCAAAATTAATAAATAAACTTAAAAAAATAAAATGCATGTCTGTTCACCTAGCAATTACATTTCAACAAAATCAAAAATCTTGTACTGGGGTGAGAAAAGGAAGTTGCAATATAATAATATAGACTCTAATAATTATTATTGTTAACCATATTTTTAATGCTGAAGAATAGATATACGATTCCTACTTTTATAAACAGAAAGCACTCCATAGATAGGAACAAGTGTGCCACACAATACAGTGAATTGGATTTCAAATTCCACTCTACCTCTGCCATTCCAGGTCGCCTTAGTGACACTGAATAAATAGAAGCAAGGTTGAAAGCCCCCCAGAAATAAAGATGGTCCCCAGACACATACTAATCTTACTTTGATCGCTTTCAATCCATATGTTTTATCTTCTTCCACAGTGGCAGTGACTTTGTGTCCCACTTTCAGAAACACATTGCCATCCACAGCATCACTATCAAAGTAGATCAAGTCATCAATCAAGCCGTGATCTCTACAGACCTTCGTCACAGCTCCCTGCACAGTTTTTAACCTGGTGGCACCTAAGAGATGGTAAGAAAAACATTTCATTAATCAGTCTCTGAAGTAAGTACACAGGAGAAACAAACCTGACTGGAGGAAGGTATGGTAGACAATGATCTAGATCTAGAAATAAACCAGGCGTAGTTTGAGATACAGAGGGGCAGAGTGATTAAGTGTTTGGGAGGCGGAATGCCCATGTGAAAAGGTTGGTTCCACCATTTCTTTGTAAGGCACAGCGGCCCAATGCCCTTGGTGGTGGAGCCCTGCCATAGAGGGCCCTGAGTCAGGAACCAGACTGGCTGTGAACACAGCTCTTCCCTTTACCATCTGTGTAACTCTGGGCACATTTCTTAACCTCTCTGAATTTGTTTTCATCTGTAAAACCAGGACATTATTAATGTCTGCCTAAGAGAATATATCTTAAATGTCCTCACCCCCCCCACACACACACACTCACAGAGGATAACTATATAAGGTGATGGATGTGTTAATGAACCTTATTGTGTAATCACTTCACAATATATACATATAATAAGTCATAATGTACACCTTAAACTTACAGTGCAATGTGTGAATTATGTCTCAACAAAGCGGGGGGGGGCAAAGGGTTGTTATAATTATTAATTATATAATTATTATAATATATACATTTATATATAATATATAATTATTAATTATATTAATTATATAATTAATTATTATGTACCGACAGGTACATGTCAACTGCTTAACACTGTGAATTCTCCCACAGGTTAGAGTTTACATGTTAGGTGTTGTCATGCTTTCTGCATCCAGAGAGTCTTTAAACAGCCATATTGTTATAGAATTTTATCATTATCGACAATAGCAGTAGCAGCAGCAGCAGCATCTGGAGATTATTCAAACATCTCACCAAAAACACGCATACAGAGATCTGGGGGTTTAAATCTAGCCCAAATGTGCATCCAAAACACTCAGGTTTATTTTTTTCAGAACAAACACACCAAGTAAGCCATAATTTGGGATCTGAACCTGGAGACAAAGCCTGCAGAGTCCGCACTATGAACCACAACGCATTAGGTGCCTCCCCAAAGTGAGGCTGGGAGAAATATTGACTATAATATATGATGCTTTCGGGGAGGGCACATGGGGGCTCAGTCTTTTAAGCACCCCACTCTTGGTTTCTGCTCACATCATGATCTCACGGTTTGTGTGTTCCAGTCGGGCTCTGTGGTGGAAGCGAGGAGCCTGCTTGGGATCCTCTCTCTCTCTCTCTCTCTCTCTCTCTCTCTCTCTCTCCCCCCTTCAAAATAAATAAACTTAAAAAAATAGAGTATGGTTTCAGAAGCTAAGAAAATCCTGAAAACCTTTTTAAAAAAAATGAGTCAAATTTATCAAGTGAAATGATAAAATACAAGAAAGAGACACCTGTCTGGCTCAGAACATAAGAATCTTGATCTCTGGGTTGTGAGTTTGAGCCCCTGGTTGGGTTTCGAGATTACTTAAAAGTAAATATACATGTTTATAATAAATTTATATAAAAACATATATATATGTGATATATATATATCACAAGAAAGGGGAAGCGACAAGGGAACAACTGCGCTCAGGCACATGAAAATATGTCAGAAACTCTTCTGCGTTGTCCCACGGGCAAAACTACATCGACCGCACGTGGCAAGGAGAGCTTCCCGCTAAGGCTAAGCCGCGGGCACAGGCCGACTTCGCCGCGACTCCGCCACCTCTCCAGGGCTCTGCGTGCAGAAGCTGCATGAGGTGCGGCCACCAGGGAGGCCTGGTCCCAGCAGGGAGGACTGTGAGGACCTAAGATGCACTTATCCTGTGGAAGGAGGTGCCTCTGAGGTGGGAGCACACACGTCAGCCGCGTGCCCGCTCCCCCCTGGGCATGTGGCCCTGACCCGGCTATAAAGTGGACGTGACAGTCCCCTGACTTCCCTCGTGAGGGTTTTCCGAGCGTCAGATGGCACGTATGTCCCTGAGGCCCAGAGCCCCGTTCTTGGCACAGACGAGCGCTCGGCTCATTCAGTGAGCGCATTTCAGAGCAAGGACGCCGTCCACCCCAGCAAACCCTGTCCGTTTTCACGGGGGCCCCTCAACACGATGACGCCCGCGCTGGTGTCCCCTGAGTCATCCCCCCAGTGCCAGACTCCGGGGCAGGGTTTCAGGACACAACTGTGAGCATGTTAAATGGGGCCCCTGGCCGTATAGCAGCAGCCGACTTAAGACTTGACCGCTTGGGTTCAAGTACACGAGTGTTTGGGAAACGAGATCAAATGCGCCCTCAAATTGGGGAGACCCGCTACTACTGGACATATGAAAAGGCATCTGGTTGACATTTGCATAGCATACGCACAATGTAAATTCCAAGGGCATCTGGGGAAATGCAAGGGTGGGGTACAGCTACACCAGTCTACACCACCGTCACCTTGGGCAGGAGAGTTCGGGGCGTGCTCAGGGACTCGAGGACGCCTTTCTGCCAAAGGAGGCGCTGCCACAGGCATGCGGTGCCTGCCCTTCTGAGCCCCTGGGGCTCTGAACCAGGATAGGGGAGCACCCTTAGGCGCATCCCCCTGGGAGGGGGGAGACGAACTGAGTACCTTCCAGGAGGCTCATATACTGCTCCCTCTCGGCCTCCGAAGAGTCCATTTTCCTCCGGAAGAAGGCAAGAGCCCTGGAGATAAACCGAAGCATGGTCCCGTTGTCAGGGCAGCCTGTGCCCCCCAGACACTGCACCAAGCTGGCTTCTCGGCCTCCCAGCCGCACTCTTATCACAGAGCTGCTGGGACGCCGCGCCCGCTCCTCGGCACCGCCACACGCCTAGTCAGATGCCTCGGAGAGCCTTCGTTCCGGCTGCCACATGAGGAGCCTAAGCGCGCCCACCATCCAGCCAATGGGAGCGTAGCGGGCTCAGTGGAAGCCAATGAGAAGCCGTAAGATGATGGGCGGGACTTCATGGGGCTCCCCCTATCAGAGGCGAGGGCAGAAATGCGGTGGCTGATGGGTAATCACTTCCAGTGTGACCCTTTTTTGCACCTCTTCGAGTAGAGGGTCTTTGTGGGCTTCTGTAGGGAGGGACTGATGCCTGTCTTGGAAGGTGGCACAGCAACTTGCCCCAGGACCTTGCTCTCAGATGTGTAATCCTCACTCCTCACGACCTTAATTCTTTTCCTTTGTCTCTCTCTAGGCGCCATCCACACACCACCACCACCCCCACTCTGGCCCCCACCCCACCAACATTACCACCTCACCCTTACACTCACTCCACGGAGAGATCAGTGTGCAGCTCTAAGCAACGGCTTTCTGCTCAATGTTAAATGATACCACAGATACTGTTGGAAAGCTGAACTTGCACGTCTACATATGTATCAAAATATAGGCTGTGTCTTGCTCTTGGAAAGGAGCCAACGGTGCCAAAGCACTCACTATGCACTATAGTCCCAGGAGCCACTTATTTTTTTTTAAATCCTTTCTAAGTTTATTAATTTATTTTGAGAGAGAGAGAAGCAGAGAGAGAGAGGGAGAGAGAGAATCCCAAGCAGGCTCCGTGCCGACAGTGCAGAGCTGGACTCAAGGCTCAATCCCACAAACTGTGAGATCATCAGCTGAGCCAAAATCAAGAGTCAGACGCTTAACTGGCTGAGCCACCCAGGTGCACCACTACTATTTTCTTTTGGAGATCATGCAGATGCCATATTAAGAATTTTAAATGAGACTTATGGTTGTCTTTGTCAACCTTAAAACTAAAATAGCCAGTGGGGCGCCTGGGTGGCTCAGCCACTTAAGCGTCTGACTCTTGGTTTCGGCTCACGTTGTGATCTCATGGTTTAGTGGGTTCGGGCCCCGGTCAAGCTCTGTGCTGGCAGCTCAGAGCCTGCTTGGGATTCTCTCACCCTCTGCTTCTCTCTCTCTGCGCCCCCCCGCCACTCGTGCTGCCCCGGTCTCTCAAAATAAATAAATAAACTTAAAAAAATAAATAAAGTAGCCAGTTATTATAACAAGAAAATGAGTTTACCAATTGCAGTTCAGGACACATGAACTATAGTGAACTGTAAGCAAGTACAGAGTACACGCAAGAGCTTTCTTTTATAGAGGAGAGGAATTTGGGGTGTGTGGTTTTGAAGGAAAGTCACTGGAGGAGAGTGAGAGTCCAGGGTTGTGATGGCCTCTCATTGGCTGAGTTGTTGCTGAGGAAGGAGGAAATCATCCTTCCTCCTGCTGGGGTAGGAAAGTAAGTTTCTTCCTGTTGGGGTCTACAGATGTTGTTGACAAACAGTAGTGTGTGAAAGCTCTCCCTTTAGGGCTTTCCCACTCCATTTTAAATGAGGATTCATTTTCACATTTCCCCCTTTTGATCCTTTTCCTCTAAAGCAGCACTGATCAAGAGTCAGGTTTTCCACATTTACTGATTTTGTCCCTCAGTGTCAGGAAGGGCCCTTCATGGTTGCCATATCACATCAGAAGAAAAGTGCACAGGTTGGAAAAACGTTGAGATCACATTAATAGCAAGTAAGGGTAGGTAGGAAAACTCTCAAGCATTCACATCTAAAGTGTATATCATATCAGGGTTGTAAGCATTGGAGATCATCTCAAAGCACTGAGGTAGTATCACCCTGTTCCACATGTAGTTTCTACAAAGGTTTATCAGGCTCATATACAAAGCTTAGAAATAATTATACAAAGTAGAATTGAAAGTAACACGACAAATCCTGCTTCAGCAATGGTTTTAAACTTGGAACCCCAACCCAAAGGTAATCAGAGATTACCTAAAAGAGATCAAAGGACCATGGATCCTTAGGTTAAATTCATTGTAGGCAACGTGCTCGTTCTCTCATTTTATGCAATTGGGCTTCTCCTTCCCCAGAGGAATTTCTCCAAGTGTAACAGGTGGTATTGGCTATCACACAAGCACTTTCTTGTTCAGCAAGTAGATGATCAAAGGCTGCATGATTATACTGAACTATTTTAGCCAGTGAGTCAAGTGATCGTTGCTGAGCTACCACTCCATTGGCTGTGGAATCAGCTACCTCTCCTAATGTTACAAAGAGATTTCTGATCATGTGTTCATTGGCACTTATTCTGACCCAAGGAAGAAAGGCTCTCACTATGGAGGTAAACCCAGAGTCACATTCATCTCCTGGAAGTTCCCATTTAAGGCAACTGTAGAGTTTTAATGGGATGGACCAATGGGAAACTTCTGATTTGCTATGGATGTTGACAGGGACAGCCAAACATCCCAATAAACATTCACCTCCAATTCACCAGCTACCTAAACAGTTAGGTCCATGGGAAATGCCATCCACCACAGACAAAAATGAAACCAGCTGGAACTCAGACTACTCTAGCTAGGGTCTGGTTATTGATAGATCCATTAGCCAGAATTTTCTGATTGACACTTTCAAGCCAGGAATCAGAGGAGTTGGGAGAACATCCTCTGAGAGGTCATCTCATCCTAAAACAGTCCTTTCTAAAAGTCTTGCAAAGAGGATTCATCTGATTTCTATTTCCGTTGGGCGCAGGGAGACAGGACACAGTTAGATAAGGAAAAGAAGAGGGAAGGTGTTGAAGATTATACAATCTGCAAAGATGGAGGGATTTCACTGAGCTAGTACAGTTATGACTGAAGAAAGAGGGAGACAAGGTATGGGGACACTGGGCCACAGTAGCATAACTTGATAGGTAACACCCATAAGCTTGTGGGTTTAACTGAAAGTGATATTTGGAACTAAGGACAAATTGGTTAAAGGTAAGACAAAGGGGTTTCTGACACCATGAACAGATCAAGAAGGCAGAAAGGTTTCCCTCTTATGTAACAGAATGGGAAATGTGGATAAAAGCATTATTTTTCCAAGAATGATAGGGAGAAAATAAGGTAAGAAGCAACAGTAAGAAAACGGGATGCTATATATACATGATAACTGACCATAGCCTACTGCCATTGACAAATTAAAGCACTTCCAGTGAGGTGTAGAAATCTTACTCCATTTAGAGCTATTTAACTTGTTCACTTTTATAATTTTTTAAAAACGTATTTGTTTATTTTGAGAGAGTGGGGAGCAGAGAGAGGAGAGAGAAAATCCCAAGCAGGTCCACACTGTCAGCACGGAGCCCAAAGTGGGGCTCAAACTCACGAACTGTGAGATCATGACCTGAGCCAAAATCAAGAGCCAGACGCTTAACTGGCTGAGCCACCCAGGCACCCCTAACCTTTTCACTTTTAAATATAAATGTCAAGTATTTCCTCCATATAAGATGAAATTATAATTTTTGCTTCAACCATCAAAATAACTTTGAAAACTCAAGAAGATAATCTATTATGTTTTCTCTTATTTTTACCTGTTCCAATTACTCTTTTTCCTTCCTAAAGTGCCATCCCCCTCAGGTAACCTTTTCCTTTCTATTTAGGAAACCTCCCTTAGCCATTCTTTAAGGATATATCTGCTGATCAAAATTTCTCTTAATTTTTTTCATCTCAGAATGTCTTTATTTCCCCTTTATTTCTGAAGGATGTATTAACAGAGATAGAATTTGTGCTTGGGTGGTAAAGTGAACCACCCATTAGTCCTGTTCCTTACTGCCTCCTTCAGTTTCTTTGATGCTTCAGGTTTGCCCTTTTTTCCCTTTGTCATGTAGGTAGGAATTGCCAGATCAGTATATATCAATTTGCTGAGCTCCTTACACAGTTATAGAGATGCCACAGAGATGTTCAAGTGTGGTATTGAACAGGCATTTTGAGAGAGTCTAAATACTCAAGCCAGCCCTCCTTGTGAAACTGAGATGGGATCATTGTGAATCTACTTCTTGCAGACAGTTTTTTAAAAAAAGTTTATTTATTTTAAGAGAGAAAGAAGAGCATGTGCATGTGTGAGTGAGTGAGGGGCAGAGGGAAAGAGAGATAGAATCCCAAGTCGGGCTCTTCACTTAGAGTGCAGAGCCTACTTGGGATTCTCTCTCACCAACTCTGAGATCATGACCTGACCCAAAATCAACAGTGGACAGACAACAAAGTGAGCCACCTAGGCACCCCCAGACAGATTTTTTTTGAAAAGTTATGTGTATAGGGGCTCCTGCGTGGCTCAGTCGGTTAAGCATCTGACTCTCGGTTTCAGGTCATGACCTCACAGTTCATGGGTTCAAATCCAGAATTTGGGATTCTCTCTCTCCCTGCCTCTCTGCCCCTCTCCCGCTCCCCACACCCACACAAAATAAACTTCAAAAATTAGAAAATAAAATAAAAGTTATGGTATAAGCAAGCATGACTGTTTCCACAATTTATTAAATCGCCTTTAACGAATGATCAAGTTTGAGTTGGATTTGCCTTAGAATAAAGATTAGATGAAACCACAGAAGTGTTTCCAAGTGCGCCATTAAGAAATGCCATGAACAAGGGCAAATGAAAACCTGAGAAGATCCTGTACAGTATCCAGGAAAAACAATGGATTAAGAGGAGTGTTTAGAAATCACTATGTAATTGAAGTTCAGTACATACCATGCCAAAATATGCCACTTTGGTATATTATTTTGAGCTAGAAGCACTTGAAGCACAGCGAATGCAAGGAGAGGCATTCTCTGAAATCTCTTGAAAATTAATAAAAGGAGACCTCATGGGAGACCAGAAGGGGGAGATCTTCTGTCCTACCATTCCTTGTATATTGCAGACCCTAAGAGGAAGAGACCTATCTTTCAAATAGATACTACATTCGCTATTACTACACAAGCAGGAAGAAAGGTGTTTCTCCTTCCCTCACTGCCCCCCCAACAACCCATCCAATGAAAGACAGTCACAACTCAGCCAACGAAAAACTACTATACTTGAAACTCCCAGTTTACTCTAATGTGCCTTTTGTTTACAACAGCCTTCCCCCTTTCCTCTACAAGAGCCTTCCTCTCCTTTGTTCTCCCGACATGCCTACCATTAAGACATTGCTTAATTGTCCTGAGTTGTAATTCTCTCCTATTCCCAAATAAACATGTTTTTGCTGCTAAATAACTGATAATTTTATTTTTTATTAAATTTTCTTGATGTTTATTTATTTTTGAGAGAGAGGGAGACAGAGAGAGCACAAAGAGGGGAGGGGCAGAGGAGATGGAGACATAGAATCTGAAGCAGACTCCAGGTTCTGAGCTCTTAGCACAGAGCCTGACATGGGGCTTGAACTCATTAACTTCGAGATCATTACCTGATCTGAAGTTGGACACTTAACCAAATGAGCCACCCAGGTGCCCCTGACAATTTTCTTTTTAAGGTTAACATTCCCTTATGGGCCTAAAGACAAATCCTCCAGAAGTAACTCAATTGTCAGAAAACCCCTCCTAAGAAATTTCATCAACCAGGGAAATTGATTCTTACCACAAGGGGAAAAACTAGAAATCCACACCACATCCGAAATCTTTCACAAACTATCCAATCTCCAGTCTATTTTACTAAGAACTCACTCGTGTTTCCTAAAAATCACTTAGTCTCCCCTAAATTGCCTGTAGCTCCATTGCCCTTCCCCTATTAAAATGGTATATAAGCTCTCAAATTACATTGCCTTTCAGGGTGTTCATATTTTTTCTACCTGTGATGTCCTCGTGCAGGTAATATTAAAAATTAATAAAGGTGTATACCTTTTCGCTGTTAATCTGCCTACTGCCGATTTATTTCATACACCTAGGAGGTGTGTACATATAGAATCTAAGAGTATATAGGGAAAGTTTTACTTCCCTACAGGTAAAAGAATGACAACATGTCAGAGGGGTGCCTTGGTGTCTCAGTCAGTTAAGCATCCGATTCTTGATTTTGGCTCAGGTCATGATCTTGCAGTTCAAGAGTTCGAACCCTACATCAGGCTCTGTGCTGTGTCAGTGGGGAGGCTGCTTGGAATTCTCTCTCCCTCTCTCTCTGCTCCTACCCCACTCATGCTCTCTCTCTCTCTCTCACTCTCTCAAAATTAATAATTTATTTTTAACTTTTTAACGTTTTTTTAATTTATTTCTGAGAGAGAAAGAGACAGTGTGAGAATTTGTCTTAAAAAGAAAATTGTCAGGGGCACCTGGTTGGCTCATTTGGTTAATTTATTTCAGAGAGAGAAGAAGACACAGAATCAGAAGCAGGCTCCAGGCTCTGAGCTAGCTGTCAGCACAGAGCCCAGATGCGGGGCTCGAACCCACAAACCGTGAGATCATGACCTGAGCCGAAGTCGGACGCCCAATAGACGGAGGCACCAAGGCTCCCCAAAATAAATAATTTTTTTAAACTTAAAAAACAACAACAAGGCAATTCAATAAAGAAATATGCATGACCAGCAAATACACCAGACAGGAAAAAAATACACCTGTAGTTTGGGGAAACTGCTGAGTTAGCAGAGAAATGTGAATTAACGAAAGGTGCAATGGGTTGCCCGCGGGGTTTTCTGAGGAGACAGTGGGGCAGGAGGATAAGGTAAACCGGTGGAGTCTTCCCAGTGGGCCTTCAATACAGAATCAGTATAGCGGTCTAGACCCCCTGGCCCTCCGCTCCGCTCAAGGGCACACCGCAAAAGCAGTCCCTGGGGAGCAACACCTTCCAACGCACTCCTGCGCTCAAGCTCTGCCCTTGGGAGCCCAGGAGGAGGAGGAGGGGCTTGCAGACGGGGCGGTCCCGTGGGCGGGTCTAACACAGCGGCCGCCGCTCCGAGCGCCCGGGAGGGGTGTGGCCAAGAGAGGGGCGGGGTTATAGTGGCCGGGGCCGCTCCGGCAGCAGGCGAGGGGCGGAGTTTTCGGTGGGCGGAGCTCTCGGTGAGCTGCTAAGAAGGGGCGGTGGCGGAGGCGGCGGCGGTGGCAGAGGGTGTATCCCGGGTGCAGCAAGTGGAGAGGTGACCGAGGGCGGGCGGGGCGGGAGGGCGCCGGCGGCTGGCGGGGCACTGCAGGCCTCTAGTCCACCTGCCCGGCCGCTCGCACTCCGGTCAGTCGGCGGGGCCTGCGCGGGCCCGGGCCCATGGCGGCATCCGCTGCTCTGTCCGCGGCGGCGGCGGCGGCCCTGTCAGGGCTGGCGGTGCGGCTGTCGCGCTCGGCGGCGGCCCGCGGCTCGTACGGCGCCTTCTGCAGGGGGCTCACGCGCACGCTGATCACCTTCTTCGATCTGGCCTGGCGGCTGCGCATGAACTTCCCCTACTTCTACGTGGTGGCCTCGGTGATGCTCAACGTCCGCCTGCAGGTGCGGATCGAGTGAGCGCGCGCCGCCGCAGCCCCGGCCAGAGGGTCCCGCGCGCCCGGCCGAGACGGACCCGGCGCGGGCATGGAGGACGGCGGCCAGCGCGCGGCGGGGGCAGGAGGCGGCGCGGCCGGGCCCCCCGCACCCTAGTCCTCGGCGGGAGGACGCGGGCCACCGAGCTACCCAGCCCGGCCCGGCCCCGACCCGCCCACACGCGTCGCGGCCGATGGCCGATTGCACAGAACCTCACCAAACGGGTCCTCTTCGTCGGGCTCGAGAAAAAAAAAAAGCATTTGACTGCGGCAGACCTGTTGCCTCACGTTGGCCGGGGTGGGGGAAGCAGAAAGGAAAAATTCTGCAGCAGGGACTTGAGTGGCCCCGATCAGCAAGGTAGGAGGCCAGAGGCTGGAGCCATGGGCGGCGGGGGCGATTGCTATGACATCTTGGTGGCTGGGAGGAACAGTGGACGGGATCCGAGGGAGCCAGCCCCTGAGCTGCCCAGGTGGGGGGGGGGCACGGGCGCCTAGGACTCCCTGGTCCTCATTCCCAGACGGGTGAGGGGGCGGCGGTGGCCTGGGCATCTCAGAGGATCAGTCCATCCCAGCCAATTTCCCTAGAGGCCCCTGGGCTGCCACCTGAACCTCAGAGAATGGGCTAGGGGAAGCGCCGGGGAAGGCTCTAGAAGGAAAAGATGCTGCCATCTTTCACCCCCTTGTGAGGCCAGACAGGAAGGGTGGCTGTGTTCTTGGCCAAACCCCTGGTCAGTCCCCTTCTCGGGCCCCCGGGGTCTCGACAGCTCCCTCCCAGCCCTTGGCAGAGCTGCCTCCTGCCCTGTGTAGGGGGCTGGGGGGCCGCTCTCGGCCTGTTCCCGCTCCCCTCCCCCTCTGAGGCCAGGCATCCTCGGGGCTGGACATCGGACGTTTGGAGACCTGAAGGCTGCTCCGCCCTGTCCCTGCCCCCACAGTCTGGCTCTTCGGCCATCGCAGCCCGGCTCCCTCCAGCCCCTACCTCTGCCTGCCAGGTGCCAGCCAGTGCCTCCTCCAGCAGCCCCTGGGCACCCAGAGGAACTGGGGAAGGTGGGATCCCCCTGAGCAGCGGGCAGCTCTCAGGCTGGGGCGGGGCGGGCAGGTGGAGGAGGGGCTTGGCGAGGAGGCAGCCCTTGGGGAAAGGGGCTGTTCTGGGCCAGGATGCCACTGTCAAGTCTCCATCTCTTTCTGTCTTTCAGGAACCAGTGATTGTAGGTGGTGACCGCCCTTTCTCTGGCCTTGTCAAGAGACTCAGATCCCCGTCCAGGGGCGCCTCTGGCCCAAGGGCTGCCTGGGGAGCTGCTGGGTGAAGGGCCTGGTCCAGGAGGACAGGAAGGGCCTCCCAGGCAGAGGCACGGAGGGGTGGGGTGCCCAGCGGTCCAGTTCTGGCGTGGGGAAGGACGAGACCGTCACCTCCACACTAGACCTCGTAGCGTCACTTTGAGGGAGTGCTGTTCTCCCCGCCTTGTGATGGGAAAAGCGGGCTTCATTTGCCTTTGTCACACAGATGAGAAGTGGTGGGGCTGACTCTGTTCCCAGTCTTCCAGAAAACCTGGCCTGGGCAGGTCGGGGTGGGGGAGGGCAGCTCGAGGCCCCCAGGGGACCGAGGGGGAGAAGAGGCCCAGGGTAGGGACTGCGGGGACCTGGCTTTCCCTGGAGCGGGTGGCAGGTCACAGGGGAGACAGTCGGTGCTGAAATGGGCCCAGAACCCTTGTGGAGCCGAGGGCTTCATGCGCACGGCCTGGCGTCCCCTGCTGCCCCACCCCAGGCTTGACCAACGACTCCTCAGCAGTCCGGGGGCACAAGCCCCACGGTTTGGGTGGCAGCGTGGGTGGGGGGGGGGTGGGCGTGGCTCCTGGGAACACGATGGGACCAGGAGGGTGAAGGGATAAAGCTGGGGGTGGGGTGGGGCTGGGTCCCACGCATGACGCCATCTCTCTGTCCCCAGGCGTGGCCCCCCAAGGCCAGGACCGCACGGGAGAACCTCCTCTAGACGGGCTTGGACGGTCCTGGAGGCCCCGGGCGCGCTGCTCCTCGTGTTCCAGGACGGCCAGGCTGGGCCCCGAGGGGAGCCGGGAAGGACCCCAGGCCC